CGCGTCTTGCAAAGTGTTGCACAAGCCGCGCGGGGAGGAACTGAGCAAGGTGAGGCGAAGATGAAAAGCTCCGAGCGGGTTGGGAACATCCGGATTTTGTGTTGTTGTTGTTCTCGTTGCCAGTATAAGCTGACATCACCAGTCCCCGGGGGGGCGGGGGGGAGACGGTCGGCAAAAAGGAATTTGTCCAGTTCAGATCAGGACTCCTGATGACTGGCACAAGATTTTGACGAAGAGGGTTGGGTATCAACGAGAAAATCATGAATTCGCCTTTAGAAGAACAATAGCTAGATCCAAAACTTGATTTGTGGAGGTGGGGGTCTTGGTGGGTCTCCCCAGCATCCAGTACGAGCCCGATGATATCCTGCGCAGTGCATAAGGTCGTTGTGCAAATGATGTGAAAATGCATGTCATTTGCAAGGCGGTAGGTAGCATGACACAAGGCTTGTCCCTTGTCCCTGGCCCCCACCTCTGTGGCCCTGGATTTAGGGAAGAGATCCTCTGCCATCCTCCCCCCAGAAATCATGGGTTTGGTTCCAACGGGTGAAGAATGCTGTGTGACCCAGAAGCTACACATTGAGTGTAGACCTGGAATACGGAGGGCCCAAATGTAAGTGATTTTGACAGCTGATTGAGGGGCTCATGAGGGCCCCCGTGGGTGCGGCATTATTAATTTATTTATTTGGTGGCTGGTAGAGGTCTCCTACGCTGGACCTCACCAGGCATTCCCTGGCTTTTCATACAAGCCACGTGTTGCTCCCCCTTCTTGATGCCCGTGGCTGTTTCCATGGCGAACGGCCTTTCATTTTCATGCCGTAACAGCAGCCCTGTGAGGTAGGTTGGAGTGATGGAAGGCAACTGGCCCCAGATCACTAAAGGAGTTTCTGTGGCTGAAACTGACCTGAAATTTAGAGTTCTTTACTCCTCGTCTATTGCTCTAACCCAGTGTTTCTCAACGTTGGCCACTTTAAGGTGGGCGGACTTCAACTCCCAGAATTCCCCAGCCAGCCAACTCCCAGCCGGAGTTGAAGTCCGCCCATCTTAAAGTGGCCAACGTTGAGAAACTGCTCTAAGCAGTAGAAGCCGCTGGCTCTGTTATATATGACAGAAAGAGAAAATAAAATTGCTATCTATCCCACCCCTAGACATCTGTTTCTGTTTGTAAAGAGAGGGAGGCGAAAAACTGTTAGGAGAGGCGGTCACCCTGGTGCAAAGGCACCATTCCTTACGTCGCTCTTAAAAATCCTCTACTGTCTGTGATGCTAGAAAGACATCAGGGTGGCATTTTTGAGCCAGGCCTTTCCCCAACTCCCCAACCACGGGAATAGGTTGCTGTCTGGATGGTGCTGAGGGGGGAGAAAGAAAAGGCCCCCCAGAGCCTGGGACGGGATGGCGTGGGGAGGGAAGACGTTGGCGCAGGCCGCTGGTCCGAGCAGGAAACAGTAAGATGGTCCTTCTTTAGGAAACCGGACAGGGACTGTGAGGCTGGCTAGGCCTTCGTCGGCCCTGCGGTCCAGATAGTCAGGAATGCTTCAGTTAGCCATGGAGTTTCGCTCTGTGTCATCATAGGTTTGGCATGAAGCACGTGAAGAGGCAGCCCCCCCCCCCAGCCTTGTCAGATTCTGAGTCATGAATCATGACTCTTCACGCTAAACCTTGACACTCCGATCCTTCTGCTTTTTTGCACCCGTCCTTGTTTGGCACTGAAGCTCTCCTTGGTGCACGGAGGTCATGCTGAGGGGGCCACATGTTCCCTGTGGTCTCTGGTGCCGCCTGTCCCACCCCAGTGAGCATCCTCACTTGCCTTCAACCGGCTAGTGCCCCTTCCGATTGGCAGAGGGGGGAGCGCTGCCCCTCCCCTGGCCCCCTTCTTTGTCCCTTGCTGGGAAGAAACCCCTCTTTGGTGCAGTGTAAAAACAATGGAGGCCTTCCCGTCAGGGGCCAGGGGAAGGAGACTCACTCCCCCGGCTCCCCCTTTTGCAAGGCTGATTTTCTCTGCATGGTAAGAAAGTGAAGATGGTGATGTGTCCCTTTTTAACGTGCATCGAGCTGGCTAATTTCTAGATGTCGCTGGTGCAGTGTGCAATTCCTGACAACAGCGCCATGATGTCAGTCTTAGGCCCATCCCGTACAGCTGCATTTCTCAAATTTAATTTCCTACCACATGGATTTATTTATTAGAGGTAGGGTGCGGCATTCTCAGACCAATTGCTTGTCCCAGGGTCATGGTGTAAGAAAGGATGTTTGGAAGGTGAACCTAAATAGACTGGCCTCTCAACTGTGGGTTTTCTGAAGGCCCATCAGACAGAGATGATTCTCCTCTGAGAATGCAGACCAAGGACACAAAATGTTAGAGAAATATAAGAAGAGGCTCCCTCCATGGCTCCATGGCCCCTGCAGGAGACCATCCTCATGTGACTTATCTAACTTTGGAATGGCCCTCATGATATCCTGGTAGCTTCTTCTGTGGAACAGCTATGGCTCCATCCTTTTAATGCTGTCTTATTGTCTTTCAGTGGGGTGCCATTTGGGGAGAAAAAGTCATTCCACCAGATCGTCGGATTGGGCCATCATTGTCCTAAAGACACCTGTCACGTCATGACTGTCTGTGGAGTTATTTTATGGCTGCCTAAGTTAGAGACTTTCCATGTCTCGTCTTTGGAGCATCATCTTCCTTCTTCCCGTGAGGGCTCTCGGGCTCACCTCACATCTGACATCATGGGAGTTTATTATATACATGACTGGAAGTACAAAATGAAATGCAATCCAGGTGAGCTTACGGTTACAGGTAAATAGCCTCCCCTCTGAAATTCAGATGACCCTGAACCCTGATCCTGACCTGGTCTTCTGATCCTTCTGAACCCTGATCCTGACCCTGGTCTTCTGGAAGGCTGTTTAAACTTGGTTTCCCCCCCGAGCATAAAGGCCAGGATGTCAGGGAGCCTGATGTACGTGTGTGTTTTATGGAACTGTTATGAAATGCCTCAGTTATTTATTTTTTTTCCCCTTGTACTTTTACAATTGTTTTCGTAACATTGTTCGCCGCCTAGAAAGTGATGTATTTAAGATGGGCGGCTACATAAATTTTCTAAATAAAATAAATAAATACACGTAGCCTTTACTACTCTCACCCCAGCCCCCCAGGGATTCAATCTTGACCTTAAAAAGAAAGAACATTATTTATGTTACACTTCAGTCTTCAACGTACTACGTACAGGGTTCTAATACGACTCTATGGGGTCAGATAACAGGTGTTTGCTTTCTGTATGATAACAATTTCCCAAGTGTTATCAAAGACACAGTTGCTAGCTGGTTCTTGAATATAAGATTACGCTTAACGCTTTATGAACTGCTGCAGATCTGTTATTTGCACAGGTTCTGTGGTCGCTCTCTCAAACAGAATCAAGGTTCAGAACCTAAGAGGCCATTTTAACTCTTCTTGTAATCGCCAAAGTTGCTTCGATTTATTCAGTTTAGACAAGTTAAATCAGGTTGCTCTCCTAACCAATACTGCAAATGAAGTTTCAGCAAGGTGACGTTGCCATCCTTCTGCTGTTCATTGATTGTCTTATATGTTAGAATACGTTTTCACCCTAAAGCGCAATTGCTTCAGGATAAGTGGGACTGCCAACCCGTGATCTCGATCACACATGGTACTGAAGCATGGATTGCTTTACTACTTCTTGAAGTCAGAAATATGGTAGTCAGTAAGCTGGGGTGCGCAGCTGTGGTGGGGTGGCCAAGGTTCTGGAGTTCTAAGAGGTGAAATTTTGCTCCCCAATGAATACTTCTTTGCTCCCCAAAAAATTCTTACTCCCCAAATGCAAAAAAGAAGAATACTTGGCGGGGCTCTGGGAACTATGAAGACAATGCTGGGAGAGATGTCCATACTGGAGGCATGTGTGTAAAAAAAAAATCAAGATGGTGTCCATGACTACTTAATGAAAGCCCCTGGTTTGTGGCCAAAGAACAAGTAGAGGAATGACTGTGGGCCAAATTATGGCCATGAAGCCTTCCACAACTTTATAGCTTTACGCTTTAGTGTTAGGAGAGGCCGCAGGTGTCGGAATGAAAGGTGAGGACCAGACAAGAAACGAATGGATGAGACCAGGCTTAGGAAAAAGGTGCCAGATGTAATGGTATGTGGGAATGACCTTTGGAGACCGGGGGAAGAGATGCTGCCTAGGGAATGATCAGATAAGAGAGGGCATAGCCCGCAGCTGCATAATGGGAAGAGAAAAAAA